GGGGGGGGGGGGGGGGGGGGGGCATGAGACGTATCATCTGGGGACGAGTGAGCAACGACAAATCCGATGCCGTGAGCATTTGTCGCACTCCTCGTAGGTCCATGGAACGTGTCGTCTAGTCATAACCGAAGAAATATGTCCGAGCCGTGTCTGAGAGTCGCCGTGGCTTGGCACTAACACTTGGTTGACACAATTGGGACCTCGTCGGTTTCGACAAAGTAGCTCAGATATAACTACAAGGGGGCTCGGTGACCAGTCGAAGTAAGGGTCAAACCCTGAATGGTCAAAGTCCGTTTTCCCACCGGCAACAATCTCCCAGCACCGTCAGTTTCGATAGGGTCATTTTCCCCATCATGATAGATGCCAGTCCTCCATGCCGTGCCGACTTGGGGTGGGCTTTATGATAAACCAGAAACTTCGTGCTTGGGAGCGTCTCGCAAAGGCCTTGACAGACTTGACAAACAAGACGAACACATCCGCTCGCGTGCGAAAGGGCGCAGCTGCGTCGGGCCGGACAGTAAGTCCAGAGTACGTCGAATAAAGCCGCTGGCCGCGGGAAGGGTGTTAAAAGAGGGCAAGCCAATGACAGCTCGCGGCGCGGCGGGCTCTTTTTCTGTATATCCTTTGCTCAGGCTGAAACCCAGTTAAGTGATGTCCAAGACAAGCCATGGGCAGAACAAAAGTTGTCTGATGTCACGGTTCGGCTGTAGAGACGGTACTGCCAGCTGCGCAAGGATCGGAAACAGACAGTGTGACCTTTGAGGATCGACAGTCAATCAACCGGAAAGGAGACGCAGGGGAGGATTTGCTGGTGGGAGACCTGCCGGTGGGAGACTTGCCGCCGGAAGGAGAGGTCCACGAGACGTAGTTTGAGAGAGACAAGCCTGTCGACATGCCCACTCAGACGGCCGCGAACCTGGTGAGTGTCCAGGTAGCCTGGTAGCCATGTGGCAGCACAAACAGAAAATCTTCGCGGACACCGACGACGCCTGCGGGAACACGAGAAGCCCTCCTACACAGTAGAATTGGACAACGACACGGTAGATCCCCCGTCGGGCTAGGCTAATGTGTCTAGAAGCTCCACTGCGGTGACCTGTGGCCAATCTCATGTGGGCGAATTGTGGCTTGGGCTAGTGGGGCATACCTATTAGCGCTAGTTAGCGCCGCCCGTGATTGGCACCGTCCTCCTCACGCAAAACTCTCTCCCTCACACCCTGCCGCCCCTGTCACCCAGTCGTTTCAGCCTCCTCTTTCCCCACCCACGCTTCCCGGTCCAAGCGCTAACCCTAAAGCCACACCCTCTCTCTGGAACCAGTCCCGGGTCGTAGCCAAAACAGACGTCAGAGTGACCAAATCAAGCAAGATACGCCGCCATACCCCGAGGAATTTGGCGTCAGATCTCCATCGTTCTCTACCCTTCTCTCAATTCCGACGGTCGGCCCTCTCCTGGCCCCTAAATTTCGACGCCACGCTTTGGGACAGCTTGTCTACAACGTTTACATCTCCAGCAAAGTCGCCGTCGACGTTGCCCTGATCTAGCTATTGTGGTCCAGCTAGGCTGGGGGGATACTCTTTCCCCTGGGCGGTCCAATCTCGTACTGATAGATCCGAAACTAGTCTTGCTGAAGATCGCTTCCGAACAGGAGAAGTCATAATCTATTTTACGCATCCCGCATCTCGGCCTCGACACCCAAGCTGGAGCCTTTTGGTAGATTTCCCTCAGCTCAAGATATCCATCCTATACGCCGGATGCGAATTTCACCGCCGTGTCCTCTCGCCAAAGAATAGGTGGTCAACTCGTTCTCGTCGCCAATTCTCAACTCTCGAGCCTTTCCAACATAATCTGTCACTCTGAAGAGCGCGATAAACCGAGAACCTCAGCCCAAAAGTCGTACTTGAGGATCAACCTGTCGGTGGCGGTCGGGGATGGCCTCAGACGCCATCATGGTCTAATGAGCATGGACGTACACATGGTGGAAAACAGTTCTCGAGATTTTGGAACGTGTTACTGACGCTTCTACTATCCAGAAAGATGTCGTCTTCATAAAGTGTGTTGCCATTCTGCCTCCGAGCCCAAGTTGCCCAACGGAGACTGCGAAAGTGGATCGAGTTCTAACACGTCCTTTTGGTTTAGGTACGATGTGATATAGCATCTCGCGGGTGAGAACCCTCCATTCTGTCCCCCTCATCGCTGATAGTCGACACTGACCGGCTCTAGTACCCCTTGTACAAAATGTTTTACCTCTTCTAGTCAATGCCAGATTGCCGTTCGGAAGCCGAGAAGAGCTCATGCTGCCCGAGCTATAGATGAGGAGAAATATGACCTTTTCACTTCTTAGACCTCCTATGCTCGAGAGCTTCTGAGGCCCCTTACTCTGATTGCCCTATAGCTGAGAAACCGGGAATAGTAAATACTGACGGATACGTCAGGGGGACCAGCGACTCACGGCAGGCGGGTACGCCTACACAGCCTCCTCACCGCACAGCCGTCATTGGGCTATGCTCAATATTGGTTATTATTCCCCCGGTAGTATTCTCTCGACGCAGCCTATTCTGAACGCTGCGGTGGGGTTTCAACCGCAGCGACTACAGAGTCACCAAACGGCGATGGGTGGAGGCGGGCGACCAGTTCCCCATCTGGGTATATCGGAGCAAAGGCAACGGCTGTCTCAATTATGGCAGCCTGGGATACCAGGGACGATGGGTGCCGGCGTGCAGTTGCATGACAATGACTGGTGGCGGACGAGTTCGCTCGGAAACGCACTTGTGGCGCCCACGACGATCAACGTGGATAGCTGGCCCCCGGTTCCTCGAGATCAATAGGTTGGTATTGGAGACTCGACCAAATGCATTCTTCCGAACATAACACCCCGTTTCACAAACCATCCCGGCTCTGATTCGGGGATCTCTTCGGCGGTATCCTGGCTCCCCTCGGGAAAAATGTGATGTAACACTTCACTAGTCTAGTATGACCCAGGTGGCAGAGGGGAGGTGAAGATCAGCCTAGGAACCCCCTTTTTGTTTGCACTCCGGCGCTGTTCTTTCCACGCTTTCCCACCCCCTACCTATTCGCATGGTTCGCGTGGCCGTCGTGAACAATGCTTTTTTCCTGTCTTTGACTTTCTTTCTTCTGGCTTTGAAGACTTCAGCATACTGACCTTTCCCTCCCATTTACCGCAACTCGCAGTCAACCAGCCAAGATCTTACTGCTCTATCCCTCACTTCCCCCTTGGCTTAGACGGATCTTTCACCCGCCCAATGGGTAGAGTGGTGCAAATAGAAGCTGAAATCCCAGTACACTATCATAAGGCATACACCAATGTCGGAGAATGTGAGCTTTCACCCATTATGACCACGACAGCACTCGAAGGGTAGAGTCTACAGTCATTGCCTTTAGCACTATCTCCCTTACCGATATACTACGGTCAGAGATATACAGATACACACCCACTGCTCAAGCTGGGGAATCTAGACGACATCTTCTCCGAGAACTTGTATATTCATCACGAGAAGCTCTTCCCTCCAATCACCCAACTGCAACTTTCGGATCTCGAACTTGAAGTAACCTAGTCACCTTATCAACCGTATCCACAGCTCATCAGCAGTGCTGTCGGGCAGTCCAACGAATTCGGTGGGCTTTCACTGCTACCATACTCATCAGATCCAACCGCGATCACTCAGTCAACGTATCAGTGCCATGAAGAGCCGGTTGTCTGGCCTTTATCTGCGGAATACGGCCAGTGTAGATCTCTCACCACGACGGAGGATGACGAGGACGTGGTTGAAGGCCAGGACGTGGTTGATGGCCAGCTGTACGCCCGACTGATCCACAAAGCCCTGATGGAGGCACCCGGCCATAGGATGATGCTCCCAGAGATCTACGAATGGTTTCGACACAACGCCGCCAAACCTCGAGGGTCGAGATCAAATGGTTGGCAGAGTAGCATTCGGCACAATCGGTCTATGAATGAGGTAACACGGTTTCCATTCTCGCGACCATGCGCATCACCCGCCAACACTGACACACCTAGGCATTCGAAAATGATAGGGATAATGCAAAGGGGAACTCAAGGCAAGCGACCAGCGTCTGGGTCCTCACCAACGAGGCGCGATCCAGAATGGGGTGTAATCTACCTCCAGATATCGCAAGACTGAAGCGGAGAAAAAGCCCGTAAGGGGCCCGTATACCAGCTCTTCCATATCAGAGCCGGGGTAAGGGGGGGGGGGGGGGCGGGCGAGCAGCGCGACATATAGCCCAAAGGAACGATCACGAGCGAGCTGCCTGCTGATTTGACGGCCGCCTTAAGCTTATCGACCCCATCGGATTCCGATATGCACCGACCACCAAAGCTGGGATCCCTATGGAGCTGAATCTGGCACCCGAAGAAGCGAATTTGCTTCGATGTCTATCTCCATAGGATACTCTGGGTGTCAGGGCGCGGCTCATGGGCCATGGAGAGGAGAACGTGCAACTTACAGAATGCCCTCTTGCAGTCAATGCAGGATCGGCAGTTGGAGGAACTCGTTGGGTTCCATGTGGACTAGGCCCGTAGCGACTGAAGCACCTCTTTTCCTCCAGAGTTATGCTCATCTAGTGCACTAGGTACCACTCCAATAGCTTACGTGAAGGAACTCCCGTAGAGCGTACAACTAGTGTCTGATTCGGAGATCTGTAGGCCGGGCACTTTGCTCTCCAGCTGCGTGTTAAGGAAGTCGGTGATGCCGTCAAGGCCTGGAGGTCGACCAAAAATTTACATGGGACATCGGCATACATCCATGAGCTTTTGCGGGACTTTCTTGCAGAGGAAAAGTCTATTGCCAACGTGACTAACGCTACAGTTTTACGATCGTACGATATACACCCCTCGGTGCACCCTTTGGCGGAAGACACAAATATGTCGGATAATTGACAAAACGGGCTCCAAGGGTCGAAGGAGAGCGCTGGGGTTAGAGTGGGTTTTGCTAGCTGCGAGGGGGCGGCGGCCTTGGCTGGTCTAGGCGCTCACGACCTCCATGTCCAGCTCAGATTCCCCAGAGCCTTTAAAGTTTTCCTCTTGCTTGTTCGAGAATCGGATGGGCGTCGTCCTAAGTCTTCGTCATCCTCTCAACGACCCGAACGTGTAATTTGTTCTTGCTATTAACACCCTCCCCGGAAGTTCCACCGACCCGAGGCCACCCCCTCCGTTCGCCGGGAGTGGCGGTGAGCCGGCTAAAGGTCGTTTTGGGGGCTCCAGAATCTTGGTCTTTGGCGGCGACGTGACCAGTTCCATCCTCACGACAAGGGCAGGTCATCTGTGGAAATATGGGTGACATCAATACAGTGTAAGCCTCAGTGAGCGTGGGCAATGCAAATCGCGAAGAGGAGGTGTCCGTTGAAATCGCCGTTGACAACTCCAGGGTGGCACCTGGGACGTGTCCAACAGGTGCCAAAGGCTCCAGATCGGACAATGACTCCTCACACCAACGCGGCAGCATGAGCGTATCGCGGACTCTCTCGCGAACTCTCTCGCGAACTTCCGGCGCCCCCAACCCGGGTCATCAGGCTCCTTATGGAGATCAATCGCCCTCTCAAGGGTCGGGCGGTGTCTTTCTGTCCTCCTTGGTAACGGTGATGAATCCTCCGGCGATCGTCCTTTCCTTGTCCGTCCGTCGGCCTACCCACCATTGCATCGGTGAGCTCACGATCCAGCTGAGGATCGCCGAACGGAAGTCTTCTCCGCATGTCTCTGGCTCTCTCCATTTTCCTCTCATATTCAATTGTCCCTGCGAGAGACCATCCTCCGTCTTTGGCCGCGAAGGATTCTGTTCTTGAGGGCCGCAGACAGTTTGTGCCGCTCGGGTGTAGCGCAATCAGCAGCCATAACTTCGGGGAAGGGGGTGTGATTGCCGAGCTAGTGGTTTTCGATTGCTCTCACCAATGTTATAACATCGAAACCGTCCTTGGTAATGCCATTAGGTCGATGAAAACGTGACGAGACTGTTCTCCAGGCTATGATGGCTCTTCGGATAGATGACTTTTGGAGGTGTCCACAAAAAGCGCGCTCTTTTTTTTT